ACTGTACCTTGAATTTACATGCCAAGAAAAAGACTCAGACTGAAAAGAAGACCTTCAGTATCACTTTCCTGCAATATATGAGACACTACAAGAATTAGAAGGCCCAGATCCAATTCCCAGGTGTGCAAGTCTTGCAGTATGATCTCCAGTCTGCTCTTTAATCTTTCTGTACCTTAGTTTTTCCACCCTGGAAAACAGGGATTGTATTACCTGCTCCTCCCTGAATTTAGACTCTTACTGCTGACTGAGAACATTTGTTTCTGTAATTTGTAAAACTGTGGTTTGGAAAACTCAGAAAATTAAGCACAAATGTTTCTCACTTTTGTCAGACTTGCCATGCAGAATCCATAGAACCTAGCAGGAGTCCCTAAGCAAGTAATCACTCAGAGGGCAGTTCTGACTTCCCACTCAACAAATAATACACACACGAATGGGAAGCAAGCCCTGGCTGGTTTGGCTCAGCGGTTAGACCACTGGTCTGAGGACCAGAGAGTACCGGGTTCGGTTCCTGCTAAGGGCATGTACCTCAGTTGCAGTTTGTCCCAGGCCCCGATTGGGGTCGTGTGGGTGGCAGCCACTCAATGCATCTCTCTCACATTGATGTTTCTCTCTCTCTCTCCCTCCCTCACTCCCTCCCATTCTATCTGAAGATAAATGCAAAAATGTCCTTGGGTGAGGATTAAAAAAAAAAAAAGAATGGGAAGCAAGAGGCCAGGCAGGACCTCCAGACGCTACATTGCTACCTACAGAAGCAAGTCATCAAGTCATTATATTAGGTTCCATGACAATATTATCCCCCAAGACATACTACCCTTAACACTCCATTGCAGTTTTACCTCAAAGAAGCCACCCCAATACTTAAAGCACTGAATTATTCAATATTTACCCCAAACGAGCACTTTTCCTGGATGGGAACTAACTCTCTTGGTAGGGGCTCCCTTGGGGTGACCCTTCAGTTAAGGTAGGACCAATGGATGACACTCCAAGTATGAAGTGCAAGATGATTTAAGGCAGAATTTATAATCCTTTTTGAGTTACTAGTACACTTCTGAAATACAAAATTCTGGACAGCATTCTAAAAGGAGTTATTAAAATGAAAATACTGGCTTTTAAAAAGATCAACTTGGAAACTTGAAAAACTTTCTAATTATGACACTTTCCATTTGGTCACCCTTTGGTCTGTGCAGCTATTACAACAAAGAAGTTCACTGCACTGTCTAGGCTCTCCACAAAGCCAAGTTTCCCCTTTGCTCCAGTAAACATTCTCAATCTTTGCAATCATTGAATTATTGACATTAAATTATATCTCTATCTAGCCCTGGCCGGTTTGGCTCAGTGGTTAGAGCGTCGGCCTGCGGTCCTGAGAGGCCCGGGTTCGGTTCCCGCTAAGGGCGCGTACCTCGGTTGCAGTCTGTCCCGGCCCTGGTCGGTTGTGCGGGTGGCAGCCACTCGATGTGTTCCTTTCACATCGATGTTTCTCTCTCTCTCTCTCTGTTCCTCTCTCTTCCTCCCACTCTACCTGAACAAAGAATGGAAAAATGTCCTCGGGTGAGGATAAAAAAAAAAAAAAAATTATATCTCTATCTAGTTGCAGCATGTTTTATCCCCCTAAGCAATGCATCATGTGGCCAACATTCAGCTCAACACTCCACTTGACAGACATCACTATGAATTCACATTATGATTCACAATATGAATCCTAAAATACATTTTATATCCTGATCAAAATATAGCACACCCTTGTGAAAGAAGAGTGGCATACAATTTAAGAAATACTCTCTAGCCCTGACCGGTTTGGCTCAGCAGTTAGAGCGTTGGCCTTCGGACCAAAGAGTTGTGGTTTCAGTTCAGGCCAAGGGCACATACTTCGGTTGTGGTTCGCCCCCAGCTCTGGCCAGGGTCATAAGGGAGGCAACCAATCAATGTGTCCCTCTCACATCAATGTTTCTCTCTCTCCCTCTCACCCTATCTGAAGATATTTGAGAAAATATCCTCAGGTGAGGAAAAAAATGAAAGAAATACACTTTAATGACTGAATCCCACAGCTCCTGCTTCATTTAAAGGGGATGGCTTTGTGTGGATAAAGCATTGGGTGTGGAAAGTAGAGACAGATGTTCAACTCCAGGTCTGCTACTTACTGGTAAGACCTTGAGCCTCTTTTCTTTTTACTGATTTGAGAGCGAGAGCAAGCGAGAGAGAGAAAACACATTGATTTGCTGTTTGACCCTTCCATGCATTCACTTGTTGCTTCTGTGCGTGTACCTCCACCAGAGTTCAAATCTGCAACCCTGGCACATTGGGGCAATGCTCCAACCAACTGAGCGACCTGGCCAGCACTAGACTCTTTTCTCATCTGAGAAATAATAACATCTACTTTACGAGATTATTGTGAAGATAAACAGTGCTTTACAAATTTCAGTTATTATTATTATTATGCCTATAGATTTATTCAAAAACAAAAATGTTCTTTCAAGGAACTGATGATCTAACATTAAAAATGTCACTTTGGCCCTGGCCAGTTTTGCTCAGTGGTTAAGAGCATCGGCCTGCAGTCCAGGAAGAACGTCACTTTGTTCACATGCTCACCAAACATTTTCTGAGTCAATCTCAAGTCACTGAAATCATCATCTCCTTCCATTGGCTACAAAACAAGCAAAACAGCATTACACTCACAGGGGCATGGTAAGCAGAGAAAGAAATAAAGAACTGAATATTCACAGTCAATGGGGCAGAAATACCTTATTTCATTATTTGGACTAAAATTAAAATCAAAAGTCAAAGTTTTCCAATGGGGACCAAAAGGAAATGTTACAAATACCCAAGATATAATAAAAATTAAATACAACCTACAGCTAATTCAGAAAGCTCAATAATCATCAAAGTATTTTTCATATGTTAATAATCCTCATGGTGCCCTAGCCAATTTGGCTTAGTGGTAGAGCATCGGCCTGTGGACCAGAGAGTCCTGGGTTTGGTTCCCGCTAGGGGCACATACAAAAAAAAAAAAAGAAGAATGTATCATTTTAATAAAGCAGGTCAACAAAAACTGTCTTCTTTTTTATCTATCTATCCAAACTGCACCTACTTTCAAGTCTCTTTTCAGAGAGCTTTCCATGACTATGCCACCCTTCACTGATTTCTCTCTTCTCAGAAATTCTATGGTTTATCATTAAATCTAACACTTAAAGCCTCTCTTCTCCCTATTCTGTCCACATTGCAAAGCATTGTTAATATCTCAGTTCAAACACTTACTGTTTTGTTTCATGTTTAGCTGGACTAAAGCTTCTTGAGAACAGGGATTACAGTTGTTTTTCCAAAAGGGCCTTTCAGAACAGCATCTATCATATCTTTACCACTTACTATGTGCCATATATTATATTAAGTGCTTTACATACTTTATCTCGTTTAATCAGTACAATAATGTTGTGTTATTGATATTACCCTTCCTATTTTACAGAAAAAGAAACAATGGTATGAAGATGTTAGGCTGAAGTCACTTATCCTACAAAAGATAGGGCTGAGATTTGAGCTCAAATCTTTCTCTAGAAGTTGGCACAAAGTAGAGATCACAAACAAATATTTGCTGAATTATCCTAATCATTTCATATGTGTTCATGGTTGTATCTCCCCAAATGAACTAATGAGGATAAAAACCTTGCCCAGAGGTTTATGACGTGAAGTGGGGAGGACTCCCCTTTCTTGCGGAATACCCGTCAGGTGTTAGGTTCAGGCCTGCTATTTCACATCAAGTACATTTACTCTATAAAAACTCCTAACTGGCCCTGGCCGGTTTGGCTCAGCAGTTAGAGGTTAGAGCGTTGGCCTGCAGTCCCAAGACACCTGGGTTCGGTTGCAGCCACTTTATATGTCCCTTTCAGGTTGATGTTTCTCTCTCTCTGTCTCTATTCCCCTCCCACTCTATCTGAAGAACAACAAAAAAGTAAATGGAAAAATGTCCTTGAGTGAGGATAAACAAAAAAACTCCTAACTGTAACTTCTCTCCAATAAATAGCACCTGTAATTTCTCCATCAGAGATTTACCCAAAATGTTACTCTCAATCCAATCACAAATGCTTCCAGGTGCCATGTGTCCTACATTCCTACTAGGCCTCCCTCTGACTGAAGGAAGAGGACAAAGCCTCCTGCTTCCCAACTGCCAGTAGGTTAAAAATCTCAGCTTTTTAAAACAAGCATTTACCACGTGCCTGCCCTTTTTAGGAACAGACCACCCTGCTCTCTATTCTAACACTCATGATCTCAGTTATTAAATAACCACTGCCCTGTGAGGTAGGTAGCATTTTCTCCAATTTACCGATAAATAACGTCCCCCCAAAACGACATTAAGGTAATGTGGCCGATGGCTGATGGGGGCTGTAATCCAGGTCTCCCGACTATCCACTCTAATCCATTCCCTCAGCAGAAACTCATAGATGGTAACCAATTTATCCTTGGGCACAATAAATAGCAAACGCTCTAGAATAATTTTCATTCAAATGGTATTTATTTGACATACAAATGTCCACCTTGTAGGTTCAAATATTATCTTCTCCACCTATTTGGTTTTTTTGTTTGTTTTTTTGGTACGTGCCCCTAGCGGGAACCGAACCCGGGACTCTCTGGTCCGCAGGCCCACGCTCCAACAGCTGAGCCAAACTGGCCAGGGCGAAATATTATCTCCTCCACCTATTTGTTATGTGACACGGAGAAAGTCTGTTTCACCTCCTTCGGTGAATTCCCTCATAAAGTAAATGGAGATAATAGTACCCACCAAACAGTAATTCGTGAGAAGCAAATGAGATGATGAAAGCGAACCACCTGGCACTATGTCTGACAGATAGTGGGTGGTTAGTAATTACTGGTTCTCTTCACCGGCCTCCTCCACCCCACAAGCTTCGAGGTTCACGCACTACCACCATGCTACAGGGTATCCACTCTGGCCAGAGGCCTGCACGCGCGCAGCCTCGGGGCTTCACAAGCCGGGACCAGCCGCACTGTCATACCTGCATGGAGTCAGCGCTGACGATCTCGCCACCGAGCCTCTGGCCTAGCTGCAATGCCAGGGTGGATTTGCCGGTGCCCGTGGCCCCGAGAATCACTACAAGAGGCAGTGTCCGTTGCAGGCCCCGGAACCCAGGACCCACAGAAACTGCTCGTGCAGCCGCCGCCGCCGCCGCCATCTTTAAGACAGCTGCGCTTGCGCGGGAGCAGCTGTCCCCATGACAACCGTCAGTGCGCCTGTGCAGACCTAGGGCTCAGCAGGGAGGGTGAGAGAGCTGCGGGATCAAGGTCCCCAAGCTTGAGAGGCTCCCAGACTTGACTGCCATCGACTAAGTGGTGTCTGAGCTTCACCTTATCAACTCTCTCATGTGGGAGCTGGCGGTCCTATCTCAAATAGATTTATTCCTATTATTCATTCACAGCACCCAGTTATTTTTCTTCATAGCACTGATTACAATATAAAATTATAAACTGACCTCTTGTCTATGGTCTGAGGTTCCACTCCAGGCTGTTACATAAAAGCAAGGAACAGATCCTGCCTAGGTCATTGTTGAATCTCCAGTACCTAGCACTGTACCTGACACGGAATAGGCACCTAATATTGTTTTGTTTTTTGTTTTTTTATCCTCACCCAAGGACGTTTTTGCATTTATCTTCAGATAGAGGGGGAAGTGGGGAGGAGAAACATCCATGTGAGAGAGACACATTGACTGATTGCCACCCACACGACCCTAACCGGGCGGGGACAAACTGTAATTGAGGTATGTGTCCTTAGCGGAAACTGAACACGGGTCTGTCTGGTCCGCGAGCCTACGCTCTAACCGCTGAGCCAAACCAGCCAGGGCTGTTTTTGTTTTTTAATGAAGTTCTACACATGTCAGACATTTTTAAATAGGGAGTTGCTGCTTTTTATTTATTTATTTTTAATTGGTTTTAGAGAGAGAGAGAAAAAAAAACATTGATTTGTTGTTCCACTTGTTTATGCATTCATGAGTTGTTTTTTTGTACGTGCCATGACTGGGGATTGAACCCGAAACCTTGGCGTATTCCTCAAACCAACTGAGCTAGGGGCCAGGGCCAGCTACCCAATATTTTTAAATGGAAAGGAGAATGGCTTGTGTATCTAGTGCTGGAGCCAGTCAGCTCAGAGGTGTGGCATTCTCTAGGATCAGATCTGCCCTGTAGTTGGGCTAAGATGGCTGCTCTAATGTTTTCATCCCACAATGTAAATTCAGACACAATCAGAAGGCAGGGAAAAACTTTCCATTTCTTTGGGGAAAAGATGCAAGAGATGGGATGAGAACAGTGACAAACAAATAAGTAAACAACCCACAAAATATGAAGAGAAAAAGTAAAGAAAGCAGAAGGGAAAAAGTAGTAGCAATCCTTAGATTTAAAGTGGGGGTAAGGCCCTGGCCTGTGTTTCTCAGTTGGTAGCAGTGTCCTCTCATACACTAAAAGGTCACAGGTTTGATTCCGGGTCAGAACACATACCTAGGTTGGGGGTTGGATCCCTGGCCCTCTTCTGGGTGTGTTCGGGAGGCAATCCAATCAATCTTCCTCTCTCACATCAATATTTCTCTTTTCTCTCTCTCTCTCCCTCTGTTCCTCCTCTCTAAAAATCAATGAAAATGTCCTCAGGTGAGGATTAAGAAAAACTGGGAGGTGAGGAGAATTAGGACCAGAAAGGACCAAAATCTAGGGGACTTCACAGCCTTTAAGAAAGGGCTTTGTAATCAGATGGACCTGGGTTCAAATCCTTGTTCTATCACTTATCAGCTGTGTGACCTCACACAATTAGCCTCAATTTTTGTATCATAAATACCTCTCAGGATTACCATAGGGAGAAGATGAAATAATGTCTCAAAACTGTCTGTTACAATGCTCTGGCACAAAACAACCGCCATTTGTTGAACACTCTGTATTATTATGATAGTAACACCCCATCTGCCTCACTAAAGAGGTAAGAGCAGCAGCCTAAGGGCCGAGAAATTTTCAATAATGTGTAAAAGTGTCTAAATACCTATTGTACTAACCCCTTCTTAGCCAATTTTGGAGTTAATTGCTTTCTCCCTGAGATTACTTGTCTCTGCCTAGCTCTCAGATCACGTCACCGGGATCCCTTGGGCCAGAGGAATTACTCTTGGAAGTTTAGAGCATATGTGAGAGTGTCTGCCAATATGTGGCCTGCCCGGAGTAACTGCAAATACATTTCTCAATCCCTTGGATCACCATTGTATAATGGCCATTCTTGTGGCTACACGTATTGTTTGGAGAACTCCAGATCCCAGGATCTCCATACCTCCCTTTCTCAATCCAATCCGCTTTGATCAAAAGCCTTGTTCTCTCCAATTTGTGGTACCTGCCTGGGGCTGGTTTTAAAATCAAGATGTGTGGCCATATATTGGCAGACACTCTCAACATGATGGTTGTTAACTGTAGAGACTTTGCCTGGAGACTTTCAGAGGGTACAGTTACCATGACAACCAATAGAAAGATGACAGGCTGGAGAAATGATGCAAATAAAGCAAAAGGGAGGCTAATTTCATGATGACAATCTGACCATGACAGAGTATGCTCACTCACAGATGGGAAAGCACTGTCCAAGTCATAACCAGGTGACTGTTACTAGAGAAAGGAAAAAAGAGGGGGGTGGAATTTACCACTGAGAGACCAGAAGAGGGAGAGGCTGGTTGCCAAGGCAACTGGGAAGAAAGGAATGAAAAAATGGGGCTTTACCACAGCAGCAGAAAATTGCTTCTAGCTAAGCAACACAAGACTGTTGCTATAGAAACAAAGAGAACAGGGATCCTGTAGACCATGGGGAGAATTATCACTAAAATGCTGAGCAGGAAAGACTCCTAAATCAGAATGGAGCTCATGGTCCAAAACAATTGAGAAGCGAGAAAAACAGTGTACCACTTCCATTCATTGTAATTCTACCATTCCTACCAAAAGAGAATGGGAACACATTTTGTAATACCTTTACAGTATTTTATTTGTACCTTTTTCTCCCTAATGATCCTCTCAACTCTAAATTATACTAAGAATAGTTCCTGCAAGGTAATCGGTAACTTGAAATTCTAATTGGAAAGATTAAGTTCAAGGGAAAATCAGGAAATTGAAGTCTATGACCAAGAGTTAATAAGTATTTCTAAAAACAACATAAAACTCTCGCTAATGGGAAGCTTTGCAGGGTAATAAGATGACAAAAGGAAGTCAGAAAAGCTATCTGTAGTCGTGCCCAGGTATTAGCTTTGACCCCCTCTCTACCTTTTATGAGGCCAGATGGGATGTAGCTCAATCTATTCTGTAAAATAGCTCAAGAGGAAAGGGAGCCTCTCACTTGAAGTGTATGTATTTATGTAGAGGTGAAGGATGCAGAAGCCCTCCCCCAACATTCTCCACTTCGTACAGATTATTTTGTGTAAAGAAATTCTAGTTTAAATATGTTTTTATTGATTTTTTTAGAGAGAAAGGAAGGGAGAGAGAGATAGAAACATCAAAGTGAGAGAGAGATAGAAACATCAAAGTGAGAGAGAAACATTGATCAGCTGCCTCCTGCACACCCCCCACTGGGGGTGGAGCCTGAAACCTGGGCGTGTCCCTGACCAGGGAATTGAACTGGGACTTCTCAGTCCATGAGAGGGTGTTCAATCCACTGAGCCACACCGGCTGGGCAAGAAATTACAGTTTAAAAGGCAAAACTGTTGGAATAGGTTCCTCTGGAAGAGCATATCTAAAATGTAGGAATGAGGTACTAGGGATGCTCAAATTACTTGGAGGGTAACAATTCCTTGCCTGCCCTTCTGAAAGTCCACAGCCAGCCACCTAATTATCACCCACAGTGTGTGAATGTTGTACCCTAGGGGCAGATGTATAGTCAGGCTGGGCCCCTCTGCACCTGCCTCACCTTCTTTAGGAAATTGAAAGCAGCACATTGGGTTGGATGCACATGGGAACGTGGCAGAAAAGGAGAAAGGGAGAAGTGCAGAAAGGTAGAAGGGAAATCTGAGTGATGACCCATTAGTGTTTATAATATTATTTTCTATCTTTTGTCTATTTGAAACAAAACAAAAAAATTTTTTTTTTAATTTTTGGAAAAATAAAGAAACCTAAGAAGAGGGCTAGCCCAGCCAGTGTGGCTCAGTGGTTAAGCGTCGACCAATGCACCAAGAGTTCGCCAGTTCTATTCCTGGTCAGGGCACATGCTCAGGTTGTGGGCCAAATCCCCAGCGGGGGTTGGGGGTGGGGGAGGCGCGCAGAAGGCAGCCAATCGATGCTCTCTCTTATTGATGTTTCTGTCTCTCTCTCACTCTCCCTTCCTCTCTCTCTAAAATCAATAAAGAAAAAAAAAAGAAAAAAGAGGGCTAAAGGTGAAACCATTAGAGTGGAAGGTCCATTAAAAGTGTAGCATCCAGATAGCTCAAATGTTCAGGATGGCACTCTGGGGGATGCTATGACAGTCTGGACAGAAGGAGCAGTATGCCACGGGAGGACTGAAGCATCTGTTTCTAAGGTAAAAAGAAAGTTGGGTCAAAGACAAACATTAGCTTTTTGGTAAAACCCAAGATGCCTCTGCAACCTAACCCCATACTAATTAGGTGTCCTAAATAAAAACAGTTTCTGCAGGAGTATTTCATGATGAACTTGATGCCTGTATTAGTTTACTGGGGTTGCCAGAAAAAACTGTCAGGGACTGGGGGGTTTAAAACAATAGAACTGTATTCTCTCACAGTTCTGGAGCCAGAAGTACAAAAAACTAAGGTGTGGGCTGGGCCATTCTTTCATGCTTCCCTACAGAAAAATCTTCCTTTGCCTCTTCCAGCTTCTGGTGGTTGCTGGCAATCCTTGACATTACTTGGTCAGTGGCAGCATGACTCCAGTCCTCCCTCTGAATTCACATGGCCCTCTTCTCTGTTTGCATGTCTTTGTCCAAAATTCCCTTTTTAAATTTTTTAAAAATTTTTTAATTGATTTGAGAGAGAGAAAAAAACATTGGTTTGTTGTTCCACTTATTTATACATTCATTATTTGCTTCTTGTATGTGCTCCGACAGGGGATTAAACACACAACCTTGGGGTATCAGGACGATGCTCTAACGAACTCAGCTGCCTGGCCAGGGCCTGAATTTCCCTCTCTTTAGAACACCAGTCATTGGATTAGGGCCCAGCCTAATCCA